ACCTCATCAGGAGCACGCCCTGGCGTTGTAGAGGGGTCATACAGGCATATGAAGGCCACACACACTATCAAGCCTCATTTTGACTTGTTTTAAGGTCATTACATCAAAGTTAGATCATCAGCCTGTAGTGCTTTTGCACTTCAATTGTGAGTGTGACTCCAGATCCAGACCTCCATGGGTTAATAAATTTGATTTCCACTGATAATTGTTGTGTGATTTTGTTGTCAGCACATTCAACTATATAAAGTACAAAGTATTTAATACGAATATTTCATTCAGATCTAGGATGTGTAATTTTGGTGTTGCCTCTATTTTTAAAAAAAAAAATTCTGTAATTAATTATTCACTCTCATTTTGTTTCAAACTCCTTAGACCTTTGTTCATATTTGGAGAACAAAAAAGATATTTTAGATGAAATCCTGTCAGGGTTCTGCCACTCTGGTCTTGTAAATTCTTGTTTTGGTGGCAGAGTCCGGACACTAGCTCTGTTTTGTCCTGTATGTGGTGCTCGGCTTGAGTTTTCTCGGATCGAGCACTCATTTTCTGTCCTTGTGTGTCTCTGTATGCGCGCGCCATCGTGGTCTGTGCGTGCTTGGGACGCTCGCTCTGTACTCATGTTTTGTTCTGTCGGCATCACGCGGTTTCATTCTCAGCATCTCAGTCTGGTTGGTTTTGGTTCCAGTTGGCGCTGAGATGAAACATGTGTGTTGCTTATGTGTGAGTGCACAGTGAGTGTTTTCATTCATCGTGTACTCGTGTCTCGCATTCAGTGTTCTGTTGGTGTTGTGTTTAGCACGTGGTGTATGTTTACATGCACCGCACGCTTGTGTTGTCATATGAACACGCGGTTAATTAATTTAATTTTAAAGTTTAAACAAAAGTTAAATTATACTTTGAGAAAGACTAAAAATTACAATAATATTTTTAAAGTTAGTTCAATGTATAATTTTGTTCAGTGCGCATGTACTGCGGGTAGTACAGAGTACTGCCACTACAGTCAGGAGTGTCATATTTAGCGCATCTACCACTAGAACTCCTCTGTCCATTGTGGTTAAAACAAGACATTTAATACATCGTGTGTATTAGGGTTGGGTATATAGATAATGCCATAGCTGATGGCCAACAGACATCACTATGCTGAGCTGGCAGCACGATCCTCCGCCCCGCCCCTGTCGCAGCAGCAACCCGCACGAGAAAAATACACACTGCCCTGTTTACACTAATACGTTTTAGTTTTAAAAAGGCATTTTAGAACAAAAACAATCCACATCCACACACTAGCGTTTCACCAAATGTTGCTAAAAAGCTTCCTTCCATACTTTACTAATAAAAACGCATATCATGTGACCACACACACAAACACTCATACGCACATCAAACAGTTTATCAAGGACATACCGCTGGATTGCATCTCACTATAGTTGGTAAACGTGATATTATTCTTGTCTCTATCTAACGACTCTTCGGTCTTTTGAATCTATCAGGTAATGTGTCACAGCATCAGTACACTGCTTGAATCTTTCGCTTTTTACGTCTGTACTTGGTAAGTTTAGTGAAAACCTCAGATATCGTTGGTTGGTTCCTGTTGGTTGGGCACCTTTTTTACTAACCAAGTTTGTTGACGCCATTATAACGACACAGATTACTTCATGCCTGAGTCCCACAGAAAAAGTTTTTGACAGGTGGTATTTTGTGTGTAACTTATCTTTATTTATTTATGATTTAAAACAAAACCATGCGGGTCAGGTAGTTTAAACTGTAGGCTGCAAACAATTAAGTTGTTATGAATTAATTAATTATTCATAAATAATTTATTTACCGCCGCCTACAACAACGATGCCACATTACACATCTTACGATGCCAAATTGGTCAACATCGCCCAACTCTAGTATGTAAATCTACCACCAGCAATTTTTTTTGTCTTTTCAATATATTGTTTGTTCTCAGGTGTATTATTTTGCCATTGCTATTTTGTTGTTTTATTATTTAATTGTGTTATCGTGTTGTAGGCTGTTTGTCATTTTGTTTACCAAATTACTTAACGTTATCTCCAGTTGTTTACATCTTGTACTTTCTACTTGTATAATGTTCATTGTAGTTTATGAACCGCCAACTTATCCAGCATAAGTTTTACACAGCATATTTATTTATGATATTATAATAATATTAATGATACAACCATGCTTTATAGAATTAAATCATTTTTGTTGTTAATGTACAGTAAAACTAATGAATCCATGGTGGGGTAAGTGACATTAAAAAGTACACTGCTGTTCCACTTAAAGAAGTACCTGAATTGTGTCCACGCGTCCTCAGGAGTTTGTTCTTCCAAGTCTGAACTTCCAAGGACCTAAGTCCGAACTTTCCGTACTTATGATTGAGAAACATCCATGCTCTGTTTTAAAAATGTTTTAAACTTATAAACGTATCAAAATCACAGAGTTTTAGAAAATTAATATTTTAATCCCAGTTTCTTTAAAAAAAAAACAAAAAAACGTGAACATGTGTACATTAGGTGTACATGTGTACTATTTTAACATTAGGAAATTTAAAAAACGAGACTTGTTGGGTTTCCATCATTGCAATATGACAGTGGACAAACTATATCCACACACAGTTCTGTCTAAACAGACTGCAAAAGTTGATTTTCATCATAGATGCCCTTTAAAACAGTGATTACAAATTTTAACAATAAAATTATTAACAAATCTCCCAAATCTGAAAGTATTACCATGTTTTGTTTATTAGCTTGTTTGTTTTTTTTATTCCAATGCTGGTTGAAAGTCATGAGATTGTCATCACCATACAATCCAAAATAACTTTCTCTTATGACATGTTTACTACAGTGTGGGCAGGAGAAACTGTCACTCACAACTCCCAACAGACAAAATCAAGCCCATCCTACTTTTTTTCTGAAACATGTCACTATTTCACCAGGACAGTAGAATCGCAAACAGTAGAAACATAAAACCAAAACGTTTCTATTTAAATGTAATCTAAATTTGCCTGAGAAATATTCTTTATAAAATAACATTACTGTAAACTGTGACAATATACAAATACATAAAACTGAATCAAAAAAGTGTCTCTACACTCTAATACACTGAACATTATAATATCTATTATTATACACTGTAAAACCCAATAAGTGAAGGTAACTCAAAACGCTTGAGGAAACCGATTGCAATGAACCATTTAAGTTCAAAACTAATCCTAATAAGTACTGTGAACTTAAGTCATTTGAGTAAACAAAGCAATTTGAGCACAGTAACACCCAATAAATAAATAAAAACCCAATAAGTTAAGGCAACTCAAACCATTTGAGGAAACTGATTGCTACAAACCATTTGAGTTAAAAAACGAGTACTGTGAACTCACTCCATTTAAGTTGAAATAATGAGGTATTTAATTAACTCATTACCTTCAACACTGAGTTTGAAACTCCTTTCAAATGAGTAGAATGAACTTTCAGTATATTTTGAGTTAACTACACTCATTTTATTTGATAAAAGATTGTAAGAACATTCCAGAACATTTAAATGAAGTAAATAATGCATGTGTAATGTTTTAATAATTAACTTCATTTTTAATATGTCTACCATGATGCTAACTATTTATATATTTTTTGTTATTGAGGTAAAGCTGGTTTTATTTTCGCACATCAGTTCAATGACAACTGACATGCTCTCTATAGTCGACGATTATACTTTGAATATACGGTCTAACATTAGATGTTTATTTACTTATTATTATTTACTGTATGTATAGCCACATCAGCAACTTATGGTTATTTCATGGCAAAATGAATAAACATAAAAATATTACATGATAAAAACAAATTTGTATTAAAATAAAAATTTACTTAATAGACAAATATATAGAATATAAATGAATAAAAATATATTCAAAGTTAAATATGATTTTTTTAGTTCAATTTTTGATAAATAATTTAAGATTCTTTCTGGTGGTACCTTTTTAAAAATATCCATCAAAGTACTCTCCTCATAAAATTTTTGTCTAATGGTATTCAAACTTCCACATTCCAACAAAATATGTTTCATGGTAAGAGCAGCTTGGCAGTAATTACATTTAGGTAGTGCTTCGTCATTCAGTAAATCAAACTAGAATGTCCAATTCGTCATCTAGTGTAGACAGTCTGATCATGCCTGGTCTCAATATAATTTGCAAAGTGTCTTTCAGTTTTTTGGGGGGTTAATTTCACGTAAATTAATATTTATGCAGTTGTCCTATTCCCTTTGCCATGTTTCGTTTATATACAAATTAATTATAGGTTTCAGGTCCTCAGGAGGAATTAAACATTCTGTCCTGAAATCAGATGTAATGATGACTTCAAAACAACATTTGCACTATTTATTTGTCTGTGAACAATGTTGTAACTTACGTCGATACTCATTGGCTGCTTTAATGTTTTGAATTTCATAAATTGCAAAGATTGCTTTTCTGAAACTATATTATTAAAGAGAAAGTTTGAATGTGTGAATATAAAACCAACCTTACCTTAATTTTATTATTAGGTTACACATCTTCTGTGAAACGTTTAGCTATAGTATTTTTGAATATATCATTATTTTAAATATACCACTACAAATACTTTTGTATGTGTCGATTAAAAAGTCAGCTGTGTATTAAACAAAATAAGTGAACCTGTCCATCATTTCTAAAATGATTAATATAGCATGCTGACTGATTGCTGTAATGGCCGAGGGTTGTCATTTCTCGAAACATCACAGTCACTACATTAACAAAAACTCACTGAACAGGTGGCTTTTTGTCAACACTAAACAAAATAATATATGTAATCTTCTCATAGTACAACATGTAGGAGCAAAGTAGCGACAAACAACCTTATTTTATTAAGATATTATATGTAATCTACTTCCTGTTTCACATTCAGTCCTGCTGGGTAAGTACCTTACCTCATTTAAATAACAATAAAATAATAACCGATCAAATAAATATAAAAAAACTCAGTATTTACCTCCAGACAGATGAATAGCAGTGTTTATCTCACACGGTGTTTATTCGTCCTCTGATTACTGTATTTACATCTTTATCCACACACGCGCACATCAGAAGATACATCACGTATTTTCGCTCTCGCTACGTGATCTGCTCCAAGTGTCGGAAGAAGAGTCACAAACTCCCACTACTGGCTGC